AAGAAGGGCAAAGAGCCAATAACGTATAAAAGAATTTTAATTTAAATAAGCAAAATTAATACAAAACAATTATAATAAACAAACGTTTCAACTTCAATAAATTAAAAATCTTAAATTAAAAATCTGTACATGGTCTTTAATGGATTTTTAATTTAGAACGATGTTTATATTATTTTAAGATTACATTGAAAATGACTCGATTGGAGTTGAAATGTTTGTTTATTATAATTGTTTTGTATTAATTTTGCTTATAAAATTTATTAAATTAAAATTCTTTTATACGTTATTGGCTCTTTGCCCTTCTTGTATACTACCTTTTCTTACAATAAAGACAAATTAATCGGCGAGGTATCCGTTATTATAAATAATTACGTTATTATAAATTATTAATAATTTACGTATATTGTGTGTGCGTATGTCAGTGAGATATACAAATATACAATCCAATATCCCATGTGTAATCATAGCAAGGAGACACTATTATGACTACGTTTTCACGGATACACTTAATCGGGTTTAATAACATCCGTAATTAGAAACTGACCAATCGTTATTCCATTCTCCAAAAAAATAACTATGATTGATCAGTTTCATAACTACGAATGTATTAAACCTGATTAAGGGGTGTCTGTGTAAGCGTAGTCTGTCTCCTATGTAAGAGACAAAAAAACATATTAGGTGTTGGAATTAATTCGTAGCGTTTTACAAGTGATGGGAAGTACTTTCATTAATGTATTTTTTAATGCTCATGTGAAATAAATAACATTCTTTCATTAAAAAACGCTACGAATTAATTCCAACACCTAATAAATGCTTTAAAAAATTATGCAATTTACAAGATACGTAATTACATATTATTATTTATATAAAATTTTGTATTTATTTCATCTTGTTATCCTATGTATAAAGATATAAAATTCAAAAATAAAAAAAATATTTTTAAGATATTTTATATTCAACGTTAAAATATATGTTAAAATAAAATAAAATATAAAATATAAAATATATTAATAATTTCCAATAATGATCTTTTTCAATAATCTAAATCTCTTTAAATTATCTTAATAATTTATATAATCAAAACTTATGAAAAGAAGAGCATAAAAACCGCACAAGATATTGTTTGTGATATTTAATTATTATTACATTAATAAAACATTAGACGTTTCGGCCACAATCTAGCTATCTTCAGTAAATTCACAATATTCTTAAAACGCAGAGTTACATATAGTTGACATTAAATTCAACCGTCATATATAATTATATAAATGTGTTCTTTCATATGTGAAGATGCTTCGTACAATAATGTTACACCGCCAATTGTCATATCACGAAAAGACTGTAAAATGAGAATTTCCAGATTCTAATTTAACAAATTAACCTATCATTAATATCTAGTCGAAATATATGATAATAGAATTGTTACCTGTTTTACAGCAAAAAAATGATAAATCTCAAGTACATCCTTTACACAGATAAAAATTTGTCGTGATATTGTGTGTTATTATTTGACATATCATATATGTTATCACTATTTATATATATATGTCAAAAGTTTGGATTGTTCTAGAATTATTTATTAAATGTGAGAGAGATCTTTCTTAAGAAAAGGCAGATAAACATCGGGCAACGATTCAGTGTCACTTTGCTTATTGATACTACTTATTTGGCTTTTAATGTATATCATTTCAGAAATTCTTCTTTTCATTAATGATTGTTCTATGTCTAAAATTCTGATATTATCCCAATCCAATTCATGCATCTCATTCAACTGGTGACGCGAAACCATAGACATCTCCGAGGTGGATCTTCTTATGTCAGTAATTCTACGTTTTAAGAATATTGTGAATTTACTGAAGATGGCCAGAGTGTGGCCGAAACGTCTAATGTTTTATTAATGTAATAATAATTAAATATCACAAACAATATCTTGTGCGGTTTTTATGCTGTTCTTTTCATAAGTTTTGATTATATAAATTATTAAGATAATTTAAAGAGATTTAGATTATTGAAAAAGATCATTATTGGAAATTATTAATATATTTTATATTTTATATTTTATTTTATTTTAACATATATTTTAACGTTGAATATAAAATATCAATTTATATAATATTCATTACTAAATACAATATCATATGTAAGAGAAATCTTATGGTATATTATGGTAATCTTATGGTATACCATTTTAAAATATCAAATTATTCTTAAAATTTCTTTTATTCTTTGCATACCTACAAGCACAAATATTACTACTACTAAGTGCCACTTTGTTTAAAACAACAAAAATTGTTAAAATTTCTAACAATGAAATACTCTGTATGTGTGTGTGTGTGCGTGTGTGCACGATCGCGCATGGACACATATGTTTCTTTACATATTTTTATATTTGTGATACTTACTGGAAATAATAAAAATATAATTTTATTTTATCATATAAGTAAATCAAATTAGACCAATAGCGGAATTCTGTAATCATTATGTGCTCATAACAACAGTTGCGCAGATATCTTACATAATAAAAAAGCTACGCAATTATCGTTATAAATACGACTGTAACGAGTTACAGAATACAGGGACAGGGCACCTATCATGGAACAAGTCGGAATGGATTTCGACCGGAATTATTCAGACATATTTCATAATAGGTACTTCTGTATCCATTCTAATTTGGCAATTGTTTTTTTTTCTTTGTTCATTGTCTTATAATAATATGTGATAGCAAAAATTGTTATAAACAATTTAGTTGATTGCGCTACAATTTATATTTCTATTTGCAAAGATATATAGTCTATTTAATTCAAAATTTTCAAAGGGAAAGATCATGTAAAAAAATTTGCATATTTTGCTCTTTTACACAAGTATCAAAACATTTGTTACATCGCTATGTAAATAGGAGAAGAAAAAAAACAAATCGAACTGAAAAATAAAAACATCTAAAATCTTAAGAAGGTTCTCGCGCTACTTCTTTCTAGTCAATAAACAATTTAAATTATTAAGGTGATTCTTTAAATTGAGTTACCATAGAAATATCTAATTTTTTCTTATATAATAAAGTTGAAGTACCAAAATTGACGTGTGCAAATTTCTACGGTAGGTTAACGATGAAATAAGAAAGAAAAAAAATGTTGAAAATATAATTTTTCATGTATAATTTAGTGACAGGATAAAATTCACAGACACTTCTTTGATTAACTGTATACAAATCTTATCATAGACTTTTCTCAAAAATGAGATTACAATAGATTATTTAAAAAATTACGATTTTAATGGTTACAAAAAGATAATAGGTCAACGGTTATTCTGGAAAGTTATTTACGTGCATAAACTTACATCTAAAAACTTACAAATTTAACTTCGAAAAGTAAACATAATTTCATCTTGTTTTTGTTCGATGAAGATGTAATTCTTGATTTACTATCGTATCGTCGTTCCATACTATTTTATTAAGATGTACGCGTAGTTTTAATATTTTATTCAAATTATGCAGATATTTGTAATTTTTAGTGGACCTTGATGAGGCACCTCAAATTTTCGGCACTTTATTAAAGAATCACTTTAAACCTGTATAAAACGATTTAAATAATATAATAAAAACATTATCGACAATATCTAATTTGTATACAAAATCAACAATGATTATGTATAATGACATAATTAATATCATTATATACAATTATAAGTTATAAGACGCTCATTTGATGAGGCTTGATATGCTTGAAGTTATATATTATTGAGGTTATGTACCTCAATGATAAATATCTTGCTCTCAAAATGGTGCACATGGCAAAATATATAAATAATGGAGATAATAACATCGTGATTATATGACATAAATTTAAAGACTGCTATTAATAATTTAAATATTAATATTTCTATAAGTAAATATACGTAACCATGTATATACACATGTATACGACGTTATCCATTAGACACAAATATTTTTATTTTTCTTTATTGAAAAATTTATGATCAATTTAGAAAGACAAAACTTTACTAGAATGAACTTAAATTTTTACGCTGTAATTATATTTTTAAAATGTTGGTCTTATTGCAAGTGTTCCAAATTAAGAAAAAATATGTACAGAATAAGATTTTGCATATGCTTGTAATGTAAAATTGTAATGTAATATAATGTAATATACATTTAATGTAATGTAAATTGTAATGTAATATACATTTAGAATTAAATATCTTTTTAAGTAAATATCTATCAGTAAATATCAATGAAATTTTTTTTAAATATTATTGATATAATCAATCTTCTTATTATGTATGTATAATATTATTGACTTATTTTATATTTTATTAAACGCAAGAACCTCCTTAAAATTTCTGAATAGTCACTTTAGCCATATTGAATCGTCATAAGCGAGAAATAACACATCAATGCGCATGCGTAATCTATTTTCATTCCATGAGTTTTTCGACTCTACTGACTATCAGGGGAGATAAGGAGAATCTTTGTCTATTTTTGCAAATGTTTTAAAACGGTCTCATCATTTTCAAATTCTCTTTATTTACAAATGGCATGCAAGAAAAATCAACGCTTATGACACATTTCTCGCTTATGATGTCACGATTCAATATGGCTGGAGTGAGTACTCAGGAGTCTTAAAATAAGATAAAGATTAAACGTTTCGTTGAAAATTAATAATTATTGTTCAAAAATTTTATTAAAATGTGAACTCCGTTTGCTTATTTCGGAGAAAAGGTCTGTTCTTTTTAACTGAAGTTCTTGCATGGTACATATTTCTTCCTTTTCTCTCCACATTGGAAAAAAAGAAAAAATATATGAATTGTGCAAAAAGTTCAGCTAAAAAAAATAGGCTTAAAGTTCGACATAGTGTGTACTTTGAAGCAAGCAAAAATAATGGATTGCATCACTAGAAAATACTTCCAAAATTTCAGTCTATTTTTTTAAAGCTTTAATACTGGAATCAAATTGCTATAAATCTACAAAATATGCACGAGTTTTATTATGATATGGAGACTGTAAATATTTATATACGTAAATATATTGTATATGATTATTGTATAATCCCGATAAATAGTCGGTCACAAGCATATTGCATAAATTTACATAGAGTGGATGCTACCGCTTCCTCTTCATACCCTTACGGTATCCTTTACCAAACCAGCCTGGATTCTTTGGAGATGCTATGGAAGTGTCCGCACGAATCACTAGTGAATCACCTTCCTCTTGCTTTTGCTCATTCTTGACGTTTATTGGTTCTGGACAATCTCCGTCACGTTGATAATACAAACAGGTAAGGGAGCCTTCATGCTCCATACAAAATGAACAAGCTGGTTTCGGTTTTGGTGTTTCCACTGGCATGTTTGGTATTTGTATAAAAGGATAATAAAATAATGGTGTCAATTGTGGATACATGTACATAGGGGGAAATGGCAAGCCCATAGATAGAAACGGTAATGCGGTGAAAAAAGGTGCCGGATAGGCAGTTGTTATATCAGTCACTGCTAAGGACGATATGCAGTCTTTTTTGTCAGTCTCTTCTACCATGCATTTAACATTTTCATCGCTGCTTTGACTTAGAGGTTCCTTAATTACTGGCTCCTCAAGACACGGTTGAGTCTTAGTGAGTTGTTCATCATTTTGAAGCTTTACCGCATGAAAAAAGATTGGATCCTTCGTACGATTATATCGCGGTATCTCTAGACCTAAATGACTCATAATTTTCCTCATTATTTCATCACATTTTCCATTTATCTTCAAAATTGCATTCTCATCTTTCGGAGTCCATTGCAAGTTAACAATGTACAGAGAAGCTCTTTTCTGAACGGGTTTATCCATTTGCCATAACCATGGATACTTCTTAAGAACTTTCAGACTAGACCCTAAACACAATATAACATCTGCTTGCTTTGCAGCTCTAGTTGCCCCGTTCCAATTGATTGGCCAAGGCAAATTACCTCTTTCACCAAAATGGACGATAGAATCTTGCAGCACTGAATTACATCTGTGACATAATCTTCCTGTACCGTGTTGATATCGTGCAGTCTTTTCAGTAACATCAAAAAGTCTCCAATATTCTCTAGATGGTTTGCATGTTCTACAAACTTCTACATACATATTGCCGTGTACCTCGGAGAGAAAATTACGCGGGATACCACTGCGTAAGTGTAATCCATCACAATTTTGAGAAACTACATGTTTGAGGATTCGCGCTTTATATAATGCATAAAGAGCCATATGCGTCAAGGTTGGTTCAGCTTGACTCAGATCATGATTCCTGTCGAAAATATAAATAATATATATAAACAATATAAATAATTAAACAATAAATTTAGGGGCATCCTATATATTCTGTACATAGGAATGTCCAAATGTTTCGACGCCTTATCATATTTATATTATTAGCGTTTTAGATCAATTGTGTTTAATGTCCGAACGGCGCATATGAGATAATTAAATTTTTTAATTAAGAACATATATTGTATTCATAACATGTAACTTTGATCGATTATTAGCGTTCTCTCTCATATTTGTGTATAATATCATAATAAATACAATATAATATAAAAATACAGTCGCGAACTTCTATAAAAGTAACTTGGGACCGATCGAACCTCTATAAAAGTAAACAAATGCGCATGCGTGAGCATATGCTCGATTACTATATGGGAGGGCTAAGACATTACTTTTACGGAGGTTAAAATAAAATCCGAGGTTAACTACGGAGGTTCGACTGTATGTAGTATATAAATATATTTCTTACTGTTTACTGTTATATTGACAGATTATATTTATTGCACTGTAATTACCATTGATAACTGTACAATATTAAAGAGTGAATTATCTTTAATTTATTTTTGCCAAATAGTAAATAAATGTAAACCTAATTGATATAAAGGAACAAGAAATATAAATCAAAATTAAAAAAAAAACAAAATCTTTCATAAATATTGAACAGTCTCAACTTGTTAATTAATAAAAATTAATAAGTTCAAATGAAAAAAAGTTTATTAACCATTATATAAAATCTTTCATAAATTTTATTATGCAATCTTTATATTTGTGAAATGACGAAGATTAAAATAAGATTATTGCAAAAAAAGAAAAAATTATTGCCATACAGGATTAAGTTTTAATTAAAATGATTCCTACCCAATGTCCTTTCCTTGTTGCATACGAGTCCAAACTCCATTAGTACCTCTATAATCTGGAATAGATGCCGCTGTGCTAATACCAGCACCAGTGTATACTGCAAGTGACGTTGCTCTACTGATTGCTGCTGCCAAACGTATACATTTTTCCTCCAAGATTTCAGGTGCATCTTCAATCTCTTCCAATCTCGCCTTTATTCTTTCTCGTTTTTCTTGTCTATAAATACAGATAAGCAAAATTATAAATAATTTTATATTCTACTTAAAATTAAACGACATATTAAATATATTATGTCTTTAATTTTGCAACTATCAGTGAATTATAAATGATAAAACGTAACCATAATATATTATCGATAACGGGATATAATGTATTAATAATTTACTAAAAAATTTATTAAAAAATTTTATTATTTACTCTATTATCGTTATTTATATCTCCAGTACAAATTATCAAGGCTCGGTCTTATTTTAAATAAATTTATTTAAAATATACATTTTAAATTAAAAAAAAATTAAACAGTTATTTAATATTTATTATTTAAAACAACTTCTTTTGACCTATTTCTTAATTAATATTTTAAATAATTTTCTGGAACTTATTTTATATTTTTTATTTTAAATAAATTGTATTAGTTATGTTACCAATCCATCGTTAAAAGTGACAGCGAGTAATTAAATTATAGTATTAATATTTATGATGAAGTATTATACACGTGTGAAGTATGAGATATACCCACATATGATCCATGTTGAATTTCCACCTGGTTCGCAAAGGATTAATTCTATTAAGTATCAATTATAGGCTGTAGATATAAAAAAAAACTGAAACGTTATATTTAGAAATGTATTCATATATTCAAATAAGCAAAATCATTAAAATATTTTTTATTTAAATACTATTTGAAACATTTATTTAAAATACATATTTGTTATTTTATATTTTAAGTAAGTTTCCAAAATCTATTTTTTATTTAAAATAAGAAATAGCCTTCGAAAACTTATTTAAAATAAAAAACAAGTTATTTTTATATTTTAAATAAAAGTTATTTTATATTTTAAATAAATAAATGTATTTTCAGGCCCTATTTCTTATTTTATATTTTCATTTCTTATTTTATATTTCTTGTGACTTATTCCTTATTTAATATTTTAAATAAGTTTTTGAACTTATTTTATACTTTTTATTTCAAATAAGTTGTATTAATGATTTTACTAACTCCTACGATTTTATATTTTAAATAAGTTTCTGGAACTTATTTTATATTTTTTATTTTAAATAAGTCGCATCAGTTATTTTACCGAGCCCTACAAATTTATAATCAAACTGAATAAACTAATATATTAAAGTATAATACAGATTTAAGGAGGCTACTTTGGAGTCAGTGCGATAAGAGATGCGCAATATACAATATAAGTGTAGATTGCGCACCTCTTACTGCGCTGACTCCAAAGTAGCCCCCTTAAATCTGTATTATATTTTTACAATTATTAGGAGTCCTATTTTATATATATATTCTTTATTCTAAATTGTCACTATTGAATATATGCATTCACAGATATCTTTATATTATCATAATACCTTTTATATTATTACAATCCTAGATAGCAAAATTATTCCTCCCTCTCTGTCGAGAACAGATTCTGAAAGTGACTTTGATAGACTTTGTTATCAAAATGACAGCAGAAATATTCATAAACAAATTCCGCTTACTGAATATAATAATATAATATTAATATACAGGATGTTTTCTCTAATTCGATCATTTAAAGTATCTTCATTGTTTTTGACGATGCGAGAAAATATCACAGGAGATTTTGTTCGATTCAAAGGGGCACATACTATGAGCAAAAAATTTTTCCTAGGGTCATATATTTTGAGACTTCAAAGTCACTTACACTTTATAAATAGAATTGTATAATTTTTTACACAATATGATTCCTCTAATTATCCTGCACATAAAAATATTAATGTAGTTATATCAAAAAACCAATAGTTTACGAGATATTTTATACTTTATTTTGATATTGATATAAAATGTTTTATAAAAAAAATTCGTAAACTGTTAATTTTTTTACAATCGTATACCAATACTTTTATTAACAAAATAATGAGATGAATAAATTAGTAGAAAGGAAATACATAGTTGGTTTCAGAAAAATGTGTATGCAAAATGGATATTTTTTTAAAATAAATAAGTATATATTTTCTTTCCATCCATATGTATATTGAAACAATCTGCCACAGATTTATTGTAACAAAAAGCTTTATTGACTCAATGAATAACATCATTGAATCATACATTGGATTTTATTATTAATACATACAATCGTTAATTTAATCAATAAGTTCATTACTTTATGATCATGTTTGTTAATATTATATTATGAAATGATATATTGACTACTACAGTGTAGTATATAAAATTTTTTTTAATTTTAAAATACAGTTCTTTTTTTAAATATTCTTATACAGTTTAATTATTTCTTATGTTAACTTACGTTTTAATTATGCATCATTTTATGTATTTAAGTTTTGAAAACGCATATGCGATATCAAAGAGATTTGGATTGTAAATTCTCTAAAACTTCTAAAGTAGCAATCTAACACGATAACGCTAATTGTGAACTATAATTTCATACTTATTAAAATCAATTATATAAGAACTATAAGCCAAAACAACACATTTAATAACAAAATAGAATTTCAAACTTCAAATAGTATTTTATAAATAAATTAAAATGACAAAATTAAAAATAAAAAACGGTTTAAGTGATTAAAAATCAACTATTAAAGATTACGAGCCAAAACAATACATTATATGATAAATTCCGAATATAGTAACAAACGTTTTTATTTCCTATGAGATCATTATCAATGTTGAAAACAAAGTATCAGTTTTGAGAAATTAAATTACAATTAAAATTCACGCATGTTTGAGAGAGAAGTTATGTTACTTCACGTAAATGCGGCTAAATTATTTATTATTAATTCTCTATTAATTAAATTATTTAGATTAGTCATGTAACAATATGAGTTATGTATTAAAAGAATGTAAATTGATGCTGAGATATACCTTGAAAAGTTTAAAACGTGTAAATCTTTGTGATAAAAAATTGGTTACACTGTAAAATAAAATGGTCATACAATAAAATAATTTTAGTGTAAATAAAAAGTATAAAAAGGTTCTTTATTTATAAATACTTAGTACGGATGCGCACTTCATTTGTTATAATCAGAGTAAAATTGAAAAATGAGCTGATTTATATTCAAGTAATACAGGATCCGGCAAAATGATCTCCCACATTTTAATCTTTAATAAAAACGCCATTGTAAATGCTATTTAGATTTTATTTTTATTAACTGAAAATTTATGCTATGCCATTTGTTTTTATTGAGTTTTGAAAATTACAGAGTCCAAGTGGCGACCATTTTTTTCGATACACATTCGAAGCTGATTTCTAAAAGTTTCCATCACTCGAGCAATAATTTGAGGCGATATTCTTTTTCAGTTGATTTTCTTTTTAAAGCTGAACCTGTAGCTCTAAAATTTGAAACCCACAATAGTATTGTTTTGCGATCTGGAACTGAAGCATGTCTACCAAGCGCGAAGTGAGTACGAAAAGTTCTTTGCGTCGTAATCACAGATTCGTTACTTTTCATAAATGTTTCGATAACGAAGGCACGATGCTCGCCCGTCCAATTCATGACGACAACTGAAATGGCAAGGCGCGAGCTACCAATTGACTACGCTAAGCTCCCCCTCTCTTCAGTGGTTCGGGGAAAGTGGCGGTGCAAAATGTGGGAGATCATTTTGCCGGACCCTGTATGTAGCAAATGCTCGTTAATTTAAAATCGACAAATCTAGGCTGCGGTCCATTTGCTTCTTCCAAATGCCCTGAACGCTACGCTCCGATTGGTCCATTACTATTCCGAATTGCTACGTGAATGCTCCAGCCAACCCAACTCTCGAGGTGAGGCAGTTTGAGCAAAACGGGAGCAAAAACGATGACATATTGATGACGTAATCAGAGATGCTAGGAGCGTTCCGAAGCATCAAATGGATCAGTCATGGCAATGCTACAAATGCTCTATAACCTTTGAAGCGCTAAGTGCAGCCATAGACATGCCTAGGAGATTAGAATTAGGGAAGGGGAAGTAGGAAAGAGGGAATTACGTAGATCAGGAAGGGGGAAAGATTACTAGAAGAGTAATAGTTATAATAAGGAAAGGTAATTATCGGAAAGGGATTCCTAGGGAATATCATTCTGTCGATTCAATCCATGCTGCTGTTTTTTTATATGAACCACCTCTGAGATCATCCTTTTGTTATACGAAGGTTTACGATCAAGAATAGTAACATTATTCCAATCAAATTTATGGTTTGTGCGATTTTATGGTTCGAAATAACTGTTTGAAGTGAATCCGTATTTTTATTGATATCAGCACGGTGTTCATGCTTATTTTTATTAGTCCATATGTATAAAAGATATTATATTGTTGTATGTATTATAGAATATCATATAAAAGATATATTAAGAAATATGATAATTTTCATTGTTTTAATTAAATGTTACATTAAGTTATGATGTTCTCAAGTATAATACATTAATAAACAGTGATTTGTTATACTAATGAATAAAGTTATTGACTAATAAAAAATATTTAATGTAATATTCATAATATATATTAAAAGTTTATTTTATGAATGAATTTCAAGTCATTGAACACCATTCAATGATATTACAAACAGTTTTTTCAGTGTGGTTCTGCTCCTAAATATGTTTTAAGTCCGGAAAAACATTTCTGTACTCGATATACAAAATTAGAATGTATATAAATTCACATGAAAAATATGTATTTAAGCGCTAAAATCTGCTTCGAAAAAATATAGAATTCTTATTTAAAAATAGTAATTTAGAAAAAATGAAAGAAATAAAAAATTTTGATACTGTATATTAATTATTTTATATATAGCATATAATAATTAGGAAATTAGATATATAACTACAGAAAAACTTAAAAAATATTATCGATGTACTATATATAGAAATTTGAAAAGAATATGCTTCAACAATTAGATTCTTTTCAAATGGATTATATACAGGATATCCCAAAATAATCATCAAGTATTTCATAGGCAGGTAGAGCAGACTAAACTGAGTCGAAAAGTCCTCTACCATTTTGCAATTTTCGCAATAGTTAACACGACATTAATTATTAAAAATTGTCGAAAGTTGAGCTTCAATAATTTTTACTCAAATACTATCAACTTTACAGAAAAATTGCAAGAGACAAAAATTGTATTTTCTTCTCATAGAACTAACAATTTTTTCAGAATTTTTTATCAAGTTTTTAGTACTTTAGTATTTTATTTAGTACTTTATAATAGTATTTTATTTTTACCAACATGAAAAAATATAGTATTAAAAAATTCTGAAAAAATTCTTAAGTTAATGCGCTCTTTGTTTCCTGCTTCTTACTGTTTGTCTCTGTTTGTTTCTTGCCTTTTTGGTCAATAAGACAAAAGACAAACAGCAAGAAACAGAAAATAAAAAACACATTGTAGAATTAACCTTAGAGTTCTAAAAAAAAAAGAAACAATTTTTGTTTCTTGCAATTTTTCTGTAAAGTTGATAGTATTTGAGTAAAAAATTATTAAGAACCAATTTTCAGCAATTTTTTTAGTAATTAATATTTTGTTAAATATTGCAAAAATTACAAAATGACTTTTCGATTCAGTTTAATCCACTCTACCTGTCCATGAAATATTTAAAGATTTTGAGACACCTTGTATACATTCCTAGTGAAAATTTTTCTCAGAATTTTTCATATGATTTTTCAGAATTTCTATATAATTTTATAACTTTCTCACATTTTTTTATACGAATTGAAATACTTCTTAGAAAATACACATCTTTTCTCAAAATTTTCTATATATGAAATATCGTAAGATTTCTAAAATTTTTTGTAAATATAATTTCTGATAAAATGTTATAAAATCTAAAAAATTTAAATATATTTTTTTTAAATTGTGGAATGAGACATCTCAGAATATTTCAGAATTCACGTATATAAACAATTCTGATGTAAACTTTCCTAATATTTCTGAGTATTTCTGAAAAATGTTCCAATTCGTATAAAAATTATAAGAAAAATTTTCATCAAGGATGTAAAGAATCATATTGAGAATAGCTAACCAACGAAGCTTCAATTCATTAATAATACTTGTTTTTAGATGCAGTTTTGTCAATTCATAAGAGTAGATTTAATGGATATATATAACAAGAACGTTGCTTAATCTTACGCGTTAGTGTTGAAAATAAGAATATAGCCTATTTGTGTATAAAGCTAACAAAAAACAAATTTTAACAATAAAATATCATCTATAATTTTACTGTGTCGTATTAAAAAAAAAGATGGTATAATTTATACATCAGATAAATTTTACTCTGCTCCAAGGTAGATTTGACTAAAAATATCTACCAATATCTATCAAATATCTACTACTAATCCTTAAAAATATCTGTAATGGTTATTACCGTAAATTAACCTCTTTCACTACGTCGCTGCACGAGGCAAGTATTCCAGTTTCTTCCGCCGTCCTGTCTATTTCCGATTTCTGTAAAATCGCTGCCACCTGATAAAAACGTCATGTTTCAATGAGATTTGTTTACGATATATATCTATTCGAAGGCTATCACTAGACGTGGTTAGGAGGTTTGTACACATTTTACAAGTTTTACAAGTGATAATTTCTTGAACAGCAATGTTAACACGCGTATACCTTCTTGAAAGTGGCCACTCTCTCGTCTTTAACTTTAAAAGCCTTCAAAGCAGCGGAACGTCTTCGTGACATGAATTTTTCGTCTTTTGTCTCCGCCATCTTTAATCAAAACGATGCGCACAGTGACGTATATACCATTACCCATGGTGGAAATATCTATAGTTCAGCAGAAATGTTCATTTTGCAACTGTGGAAGTTGTCTTCGCGCTGATTGGACTATACTTTTAGGCTGAAGTACCATGATATATTAACTGCGTAACCAATCAGAAGCGATCCGCTTGTTGTGGTTTCGTATTTTGGTGTCGTCACATGCGGCGCATCTTGAGTAAGCGTAACTTTCATCGACCAATCATATCGTTTCACTTGAACATTAATTTCCACCTAATTACTTTGTGTTTTTTACTTTGTTGTTTTTTATTTTGTTATTACGCCAAAACATAGTGGAACCACCATGCGTAAAATCCAATTTCTGGCTCATTTTAGCTTGTACTATCTGAAAAAAATGCACATGGGTTTCGAGTTTGCAACAGTACAATTATAGAAGTGCACCCCTTTGCACACGTAGAAAGTCGAAACTGATCGAAACCCACGTGGAACAGTACAATTATAGACTCATTTTGCCTCTGTGAAACTTAAAAAAATGTTTTCGGTGTACTATATAGAAATTTAAAAAGAATATGCTTCAACATTAGGTACCTTTCAAATGGATTATATATAGAGTGTAAAATAATTACCAAATATTTCATGGGCAGGTAGAACTAACGGACTAACCCTAACAGCACAAAATCGACTCTAAATCGACTCTGAGTCGACTTCTGAAAAATGGACGTCTATAAGTTGACTTTAGATGACTTGGAGACGTCTCTAAGTCATACAATGTCCCACTTTAAAGACGACTGTAAGCCGACTTTAAGTCAACTATTCTAGGCTGTGGTCCGATTCATGAACAGTATTTATCCTTGTTTAACTATAATTAAACAACAAAGACGAAATGCTTCTACATTTAAGCTTTGTGAGCGTAAATCTGCTAGATTCTTTCGTTTCATGCAAAAACGTGTCGTTAAATCTAAATTTGAATCCTCATATAGACAACAGTGCTTTGACACCGAACACTAATTGGTGAAAAATGGACGATGGGGGGGTAAATTTTATTCCCACAACCGGCTTTTCACCAATCTACATTCGATATCAGAGCGCTATTGTCCGTATGAGGATCCGGGCAGAAGAAAGAGGACATGATGGCCCAAAATCTGTAATCGCAAAATGCTGCCGTACACTACACTACCCTTTGACAAAGTGGATATAAACTACATAGCAACGTCCACTTTTCAAGGCTGGAGATGATAAATCGATATTTGATTCATATAATCGTGTTACATGTAGCATGATTATATAAACCAAATATAAAATGTCATTCATGAAAAATAGTAAATATCATGTCATTCATAATAAATGTCATGTCATCGTAACAATGAATGTCAGATGTCGTATAACGGATGTCATACGTAGTGTGAATCCTAAATTAATTATTAATTAATAATTTCAAGTACGCTGGATTCATTCGGAGCGATCCCGAGTAGCTCCCGAGAGACGAAACGAACAATGCTATAAAATATGTTAAATAATTGCATTTAATTCTGTACTTACATGATAATAAAAAATAAATGACAAATACAATATTTAACCGTCATTTATGAACTTGCTGTTGATTCCGCTTACACTCATTGCGATCCATGAAGATGAAGGGATCGCGTAATGAAAACTGCGGATCACACACTCGTGATTGGTTCTGTTTTCGTTCCGCGTTCCACTATTCCATTGCATGGGTTTGCACCCTTAAGATGTCATAAATCAATCCGAGGACTGTATAGCACCTTAGAGCATTATTTAAGATAGTTTTAAAATAAAAACAAACTATAAATATCACCTCATGTTTAGTGTTTCATAGTTGGTAGCCTTAGTCTCTTATCGACATTCATAGAGATGGCGGAGATTCAGAGAGAGATGCTTGCAAATTGCACATACCATGTTATCTCTTTCATCATGATCGAAATCCATGTAAAACGGTACAATTATAGACCTCATTTTGCCTCTGTGACAGATTTCCTAACCTCAATAGTTGTCAACTTTAACGCTTAATATTTCAATTCGTGGGATAGAACGGCAATTTTTTCTGCCAGATTCTTCCATTTCATACAAAAACATGAACAAGCCTAATTTTATTGATTTTAAGATGATTAGTGCTAAACTGTATAATTACCCTAAGGATAAAGGAGTATTTTGATAAAGCATCTGGCGAAATTTTGAAATGCAGAGTTGGCAACATTGGCTTAGTTTCCGAGGATGTAATCCGGATCAAAATGTAAGAACCAATCAATTACAGTTGAGTATTCCCCTGTTATAGTCGAACGACAGGGGAATGCCTGACTGTAGTTGATTAGTTCTTAGGGTGAAATCACACAGTGCGGAATAAGACTGCGGAGTAGCGAGTGCGTCATTGTTCTTGTAATAAACCGTCGTTGAGAGGTCAAAATAATTTGATGCTGATTAATATGATGGAATTGCGTAACGTCGAGACAAATGAAGCAAAATGACAAAATCTGAGTGCATAAATATAGATACCAAGAAAAAAACAATGATGCATTACATGCAATTTCAGTATGCCCTTTTCCGCATTTTTCCATTACGCCAGTTTTGTGTGCAATGTTCATGTTTGCATGCGGAAAAATGATAGTAAATGCGTTAAAATAGTTCAAAAAATTGTTATGAAATGGTAAATATTAATTGTAAAACATTAAATATGACAACAATGATAATTGTTTTTACAAATTGTTTTGAAAAATTATATTTCATTTTAATAAACAAATTAACACAAAGTTAGTAGTTTTTAAATTATTGGGTTATCTAAAAAGTATCCGCGGTTTTTTGTCACTAGATGTGTTGACCATCAACACTATCTAGTGACAAAAAACCGCGGATACTTTTTAGATGACCTAATATATTCATGCTGGATACATCATATGAACATAGCACACAAATTTGCGTGAAAAAGTGCGGAATAGCGCTGATTGGTTGCTTCAATAACGCATTCTGTATTCCGCAGTCCTATTCCGGATCGTGTGATTTGACTCTTAAGGTGCTATCCCATGATGCAGAATTGGCACAATGCGGAATTGACGGAACGCTTATGATTGGTCGTGGCTTCATTCCGTCGATTCCGTTCCGCTAAAATGTGTTTTCCTATGTCCCATGGCGTGGAATTTCCGGAATGCATAATTAGCGTTGACCAATCACAAGAGCCTTCCCGTAGATCAGTTTCATTAGATCTACCGGAATAGCGTTTATCTTTCATTGATTGCGCATCTGCAAGTTCCGCTCCATGGGACATAGGAAACTAAATTCCTGCGGATCAGAAATCACACATACATACAAGGATATTATCTCGACTTCATTTTGTGTGTCATTTTGATTTTGATTTATATTTTCGCCTTTCTGTATATTATATATACGACATTTGTGTTCTGATCATATTGATCTCCGTATTTATCTGGAGACTTAATTAATTACCTTCAGGGTTATGTTGAAATTCCATTATCATTCCATTCTTTTTTTACCAAACGTTAAACATTTACCAAATGTTAAACAAGGATGACATAATACCTGGAGAACACCTAGGTGGGAATCCGAACACGCCTCAGCATGTTGATTAATCTGCGCTAGGAGACAATTTTCTCCATTTAAACCAGCCTAACGAGATTAGTTTATAAGTATACATATGTACACGCACACATGCAGACATCGGCGGAATCCGCAAAAGAAACAAATTTGCGCAGCAGAAAACGGCAGAATGAAGCCATGACCAATCACGAGCGTTCCGCCAATTCCGCACCATGGAATCGCACCATTACATTCTGATCCGGATTAAACCCTCGGTGGAAACTAAGCCATTGTTTCTGATTCCATGCATCATCATGTGGATCCATCATGGACATTCATAGCTCATGACCAGTCGTGACTAACGATTTACTTTGGTGTATTTTAACCTAAATTGGGGGGATTCCGTTAATATCCTTACAAAACGTGACAAATGTTCTAACGTGTATTGGAAATATTATTATTTATTCTGTTAATACATTTGGAAGGAAATCGTGTAAGAAATAATGCATTTGATTTTGGCTACGTTCTGAAAACGTGTAATATATTGTTTTATTATGTTGTTCATTCATCGAATGTTAAACAAGACGGTATATCCTGTGCTTTACGGAACGCAGCTTGTAGCATATTCACTATTCATCAATTATACGCAAATGTTTTTTTTGGTTATTTTGTGATCGAATTTTTGTATCTTTATATCTGCGGTCTTTTTTCATCATGTATTTGATTTTACGATAATTTGTGTACACAATCACAAAGATGGATAAAATATATCTATGCGGCTTTTCATAAATGAATCTGGCAGAAAAAAAGTGTTGCTCTGCCATATGAACTAAGATATTAATGGTTAAAGTTGACGACTATTTAGATTAGGTATTAATCTGTCACAGACCATTGCCACAGAACAGAAAAAAGATCCTTCTCTGTTCTTTCTATGTGAAGAATTGTAAACTCGTGTAAAATTGTTCATGGGTTTCCAACTTGGCACACAAAGTGAAATTAAATTTAAAGGATTGGTTTTGTTTTAGTGTAGGTCTCTTTTACCATTCTCGGTTAAATTAACCGACTCTTACATGAGGCTCATTTAGGTCCATTTAGATCCGTTTCTACCAATGTAGATTAACTTTAATCTCAGTTCAACTTACTCTGTATCTTTTTCTAATTCTCAGAATTGGAAAAAGATGAAGAGTTAGTTAAACCGAGATTAAAATTAGAAATAGGCCTTAGTTTCACAACTCATGGTTAACTTTTAATCAAGATTTAACTTATTTTAAGTGAAATCTCGGTTGAAAGTTAACCATGAATTGTGAAACTGGACTTAAATGAACTTCATGTAATCGTCGGTTAACTTAAGGTTGATGAAAGAGATCCATAAGTAAATAAGATCTGTTTTTTTAGCTAAAATTTTTGCACTGTTCATCTTTCTTTTTTCCTGTTAGAGAGAAAAAGAAAAAAGATGAACAATGCAAG